TAATTGACACAATCAATATTTAGTTAGTTATAAAAATTCTTTTGTTATAAATAGAAAAAGTATAAAAATTATTTAAAAAAGATATATTATAAAGTTTTTAATATTCTTAGTAAAAACTTTAGTTTTTTACAAAAAAAAGTATATTTAAAATTATTAATTATCATTAACAAACATTAAAAAAAGTGAAACTCTTAAATTACTCCTATAAGAAGGTTTCGAAGTAAAACAAAGTTTTTTTTAACTTATTTGTATTAAAAAAATTGATAGTAATGTGCTTAATTTAATAATAAAGGTTTCATTTGTTAGAAAGAGGGCGTCTTATTAAAAAATATACTCAAATTTTTGATTTTTTTATTTAAAACTTCTTTAAATAAAAATAATTCAACACAAGAAGATAATATTTTAGTCAAATATAAATAAGTTTTATATTGTATTTCTAAAACTTTTCTTTATAAAGAAAATAAAACAGCAAAAGACATGAAAATAAGAAAAAGATAATTTGATTATTTAAAGGAATTATCAAATTTTTAAGAAATAAAAAGTTCCAAAAAGTTTTCTAAAATTCTTAAATATGTCGACAAATTATTTAAATAAATTTTCTTCTGTTTTCAAAATTTATAAGTCTATGTAAAAGCTCTTTAAAACTTACTTTTTATAATTTATAAATAAAAAATTATATTTAATAAACAAAATTTATAAATATTAACTTTATATCAACCTTTAAAAATTTTTAATAGAACTTACAATCTGGTTTTTTTCTATCTAGTATTGCATTTTTTATACAAAACAGTCAAAAAACTAATAAATTTATTATTTTATTATGAAAAAATACTTTTTTAAATTTAAATCTTTTTAATTCTTAAAATGAACTCTTTTTAGTAAAAATCTGCAAAAAATTATAAATTTTTTTATTAATAATTAATTAATATTTCTAGTTAATAAATAATTGCTTTTTTCTTAATAATAATATATTGAAAAATAATGTTTCTTAATAATAAAAACTATTCTTTTAATTATTAAAAACATATTTTTTTAATTCATTTATAAAAAATTAAAATATTAAATGTTATAAAATCAGTTTTCGGTTTAAAAAATATAATAAATTTAAAACTATTTATACATCTATTTTGAATATTTATAAATAAATAAACATTAATAAAAAATTTATTTTCATCATAAAATCATATACAAAAACCTCATAACAAATAGGTTAAGACAATGTTGTTTTTTCTTTATAAAAAATACCTGTTTATTTGTAAATTACAAAACAAAATCTTTAAAAATAAACTGTGATTGATAATGGTATTTTTATTAAAAAATAAATAATTCGTATAATCCATAATATATTTAAAGAATAATAAAAAATATACCATTTTATATGTATTTATTTACAATTTTTAAAATTAACGATCTTTTTTGTGTTGATATGTTTGTTGTTAATTTTATTTTCATCTATTAACAAACTTTTCAATATTTGACTTTTTAAAATGCTATTTTTGTGCTTTTTATAAAAGTTAAATCGATTTATAATTAATAATAATTAAATCACGGCATTTAAAAGAATTATAAATAGATTATTTTTAATTTTAGAAGAATTTATTCAATAAAAAAATCTATCAAATTTAATTTGACACATCTTTTGTTGTTTAATATACAATGTTGTTGTAAAATTGGGAAATTTAAACAAATTTTTAGTGTTTAACGTTGTTAATGTATAATAATTTTTCTATTTTAATAAAAAGGAGTAAATTTAATAAATCCAACAAATGTCACTTTTTATTAGTTATCAGTATAATTCATTTAAATACTTTTTAATAAAAACAGTTTTTAATTAAAAAAAGTTTTATAAACGACTTAACACAAATAAGAAATAAAGTAGTTAATTTTTTATCAATGTTATGGTATTTTAAAATGGTATTTATTTAAACAATTTAGAATTCTTTTTAAATAAAAAACTAAAAGAGAATTTTATGTTTATAATTATAAATGAATATATTATTATATTTTTTTTAATGTTTTTCATCTTTTATTCATCATTTTTTTAATTTAAAAAATATAAATACAAAAATTGTTCATTTATGTAAAAAATTCTTATTAATGATTATTTAATGGATTATGAAAGAATTTCAATTTTTTTCTAATTTTGACGTGTTTGACTGATGTATTTGATTAATTATTAAATTCTCCTTTTAATTTAAAATAATTTAAATTATTATTCACATTTATAATTATTAAAATATGATATTTTTCACTTTAAAAGAGTATTTTTATTAAAAAATAAAAGGGGAAATGGGATATTTAAGGAAAAAAATTTACCCTTGTTAATGAATATTTTCTGGATTATAAGTTTGTTAAGTATTAATGAGGTTAAGTCATTAGGACAAAGCGTTTTTGATAAAATATTTAAAAAAAAGAATAAAGAAAGTATGATAAAAGAAATGAATAGCGAAATAGTAAAATTTGATAAAGAATTTAGCAAAATACCAATTTATAATGATTTACTTTTTTAAGTTTCTCTTTGAAAGCCCAATTCATTATTTAAAGATAGATTTTGAAAGAGATTTTGAAGGAGGTTTTGATA